AGTACATAAACAAAGTATACCCAGTAAGTATCAAGCATAATCTCGAAGTGGTAGAGACGAGATGACCGACTTTGGCACTCACTATGAGTCAATAATAATAATTAAAATACAACTAGGATATTTAAGTCATCGTGATTTACAGAATTCAAAATAATTTATTTAATCAACGGAAATAATCAAATTCCTTCAAATGCAAGAATTCTCAATATATTAATTAAAATCCTTCAATTCAAATAATTTCCAATTTATCAATTAAATATCATTTACAGGAATAACAATTAGTTCTTTAACAAGCAAGAATAATAATTTATTAAATTCCAAGGATTTTCCAATTTATCAATTAGCTTCGCAAGCTGAAATAAACTATTAAAGTATCGTATAATTATTATTATTATTAAGCACGAATTCTGCCGAGGACGTACCACCTGATCTAGAGTGTCGTGTACACTACCAAGGGACGTGCGTCACGATCCATAGATGCATCTATCCTGCCGAGGCGTTCGGACCACTCCACAAGAAAGGAGGACATTTTCTTATGTACCTCCGGAAGGAGAGTATATTTATTATGAGATAAATTCGGGAGGAAGAATAATTTTTTTAACAAATAATTAATTTAAACAGAAAATCAAGCATATAAATTTTCCATCCTTTAATATTTTTATCTAAAAATTCACAACATATATATAAATATATCAAATAATATTAATTAAACAAAGAGTATAATTTACACAAGTAATTCATGCTTTGAGTCCTAAACTACCCGGACTTTAGCATTAATAATAGCTACGCACAGACTCTCGTCACCTCGTGCGTATGTAGCTCCCGCAATTATTAATAATTATTCAATTTAATCCCTATGGGGTAATTTTCCCCTCACAAGATTAGACAAGAGACTTACCTCGTCTCAAAGTTCACTTCAATCCTCTAGAAGGCCCTTTCCACGATTATCCAACTCTGTCTGGCTCGAATCTAACCAAAATAATTTGATACAATCACTAAAAATAATAAGAATCAGTTCTATAAGAAAATACTACATTTTTAGTAAAAATTTTAAAATTAATTAAAAATTCGTCCGTGGGACCTACGTCTCGGAATTCGGCGAAAGTTACGAAATATGAACACCCACTCAACCACGAGTCTAGCCATACCAAAATCACTAAATTCCGATAATAATTCGGCCCTCAAATCCTCAAATCTATCCAAGAGGGTTTTCAAACCTTTCCAACTCAATTCACCAATTAAATGATAAAAATAGTGATGGATTCGGGTAATTTAACCAATATTGAGTTAAGAACACTTACCCCATTGTTTTCTCTCAAAATCTCCAAATATTGCCTAATTCCGAGCTCCAAATCGTTAAAAATAGATTTTCAGAACTTAAACTCTCTGCCCAGTGATTTCTTCTACGCGATCGCGTAGCACAAATATTTATGCCCAAACAATAACCTTACGGGATCACATCAAGTCCCACGCGATCGCGATGCACCAAGTTCCGACTCTACGCGATCACATCCCTCTTCATGCGATCGCGTAGCACAACGCGTGGCCCAACTTTCTCTCAAATTTTCCCTACGGGGTTGCAAACAATGACACGCGATCGCGATACACACACTGGCCAATCCTACGCGATCGCGGACGTGTCCACGCGATCGCAGTGAACTAATTTTCAGCTGCCCAAATTAATCCTACGCGATCGCAACCCCATTCACGTGATCGCATAGAACAAATTTACCTCTGCCTAACTTACTCTACCCGATCGCATATCAACTTACGCGATCGCGTATAAGGATACCAAAAGAAAATACCACCAGTTATCACTAGTGTTCCAAAGGCCAAAAGTGATCTGTTAGTCGTCCGAAACTCACCCGAGCCTCTCGGGACCTCAACCAATTATACCAACAAGTCCTAAAACATCATACGAACTTAGTCGAAACCTCAAATCACATCAAACAACGCTAAAACCACGAATCATTCTCCAATTCAAGCTTAATGAAACTTAAAATTTCTAAGTTCTTCATTCGGTAGCAAAAACCTATCAAATCAAGACCGATTGACCTCAAATTTTGCAAACAAGTCATAAATGACATAACAGAGTTATAAAAATTTTCAGAGCTGAATTCTGACTCCGATATCAAAAAGTCAACTCCCCGGTCAAACTTCCAAACTTAAATTCCTATTTTAGCCATTTCAAGCCTGATTTAACTACGGACTTTCAAATAAAATTTCGAACACGCTTCTAAGTCCAAAATCACCATATGGAGCTGTTGGAATCGTCAAAAATTTATTTCGGGGTCGTTTTCTCAAAATGTTGACCGAAGTCAAACTTAGTACTTTAAGGCCAACTTAAGGAACCAAGTGTTCCGGTTTCAACCCAAACACTTCCAAATCCTGAACCAACCATCCACGCAAGTCATAAATTATTAGAAGCATATACGTGAAGTTTTATTTTAGGGAAAGGGGTTCTAAAAGTTAAAATGACCGATTGGGTCATTAGAGTTGAGTAAGAAAAGTTGAGAGAGTTCGAAAAATTATGAAGTGTAAAAGAATAAGATTGAAGTGTATAAGTAAAGAAATAGGCGGCTAAAATCGTGGCCATGATTACCTCGAGAACCAGCGAAAGTATTGTTGAATTATGGGATGATGCGTGTTCGGGATATTAAATGCGGAGAGACGTATGTCTAATCGAGCGTCAGAAACTTTTCAAAGGGGATCAGAGAATTTTCCGCCAAGAAAGGTATCTTCACTAACTTTTCGATGGCACAAGGATGTGCCACCGGAAAGTAGGGGGACTATCTGTATAGGGTTAATCTATTGATATTAAATACTCGTATAATAGAGCGACACGTAGAACCGGAGACAGATAAAAAGTGAGACATGTGAGAATCAAGACCCGGGGCAGCAGCCTCGGTTGGCACCGGGATGCCCCCGAAAAGAATGTTGCCCATGAAGACAAATGAATGCCTGTCAATCGATAGCATTTAATGAAGAATGTTTTGTAATATTAAATATATAGTCCGTTATAGAGAATATGGCATTCATGGCCTGTTATTACACATTCTTCAATGGCCTCATAATTGTCATTAAATAGAGGCTTGATCCTAGGACCTAGGTGCAACTATAAATAGTGAGTTCAATAGCCATTGTAAATGGACGAATTTCCTAACAAACTTATGATATATATACTATTCAAAAGCTCAATAACATTTTATTTCTTGCTTATTAATATTGCTATTACTGTCTTCGGAAGCTCTGCTCCCGGAATCAAGCTATTCATTGTCTTATCTCGATTTCAACGCTAAGTTTTGCATTTTATTTAAGTTATTTATTATTTTGGGATCAAATCGATTCGCTTGTCTATAAACCACTTATAAATTCAATTGTACCATTTTACGGGTAAATAATAATATTTATGAATTGGCTAATATTGATAGTATTTCGCCCTAATAAGCAAAATTAAATAGTTTTCTTTTTTTCATCCCTTAGCCCAATATTAAAGACCCTTTTCTAACCTATATATGATGCGACATGCCCAATCAAATAGCAGGCCTTGAACGAATAAATAATTCTCAAACTTCCTTGCTAAATCTTTGAAATAGTATAACGTTCTCTACAAAAGGTTTTTTCAAGTTTAACACGACAAATTTTCTTCTTCTTTTCTTCCTTCTTCTTTCTTCTTTCTCCTTTATTGTCGACGACTTTTCATCCCAAATTCCCCTGTCATTGGTTTTCGATCACTTTGTTAGCTTGTGTTTCATTTAGGTATCGAATCTGAGCAAAACAAAAATCTCGATTAACGGGTGCTCAAATCTGAAGTTGAAGTTTTGCTGCAGTGAAATTCAAAACTCCATTGAAGGGGCTTCAGAACTCAAAGTTCAACTCAAATCTGAAATCTAACTTTAAAATGACTAGGTGAAGTTAAAAATTATTGAAAAAGCTTATAACTTAGAATCTAGAGTGTTAGGTTGATTGGGTTTGATCAATGCTGGTTTTGAAAATCATACCAGTTGAAAAAGAAAATTAAAAATGAAATCTAAGTTTTGTATACAACATCATGCATCATTACATAATATAATACAATATTATATAAAGTTATATTAAGTGTATAATATTATATTCTGAGTGTGTAAATAATGTTGATCTTTTTGTTCGTGATTTTTTTTTCGACTTTGGTGCAATGATCCTTCTTTTAAAGTAAGTTCCTCTGCAGCGATTTTAGTTTTGTTGCATATTTATGATTTTTTTTTTTTGATGTGTTTTGCTTTTGCTTTTGCTTTTGCTTTTGTTTGGGTACAATTTGTTATGATTTTCCTTTGTTGCTTTGAGTTTGTATCCTATATGTTTCCTATTAATATTGATTTTATTATTTTTCTATGCTGGTGAAATACTGATATACATTATTGTATATTTCATATACAAGTTTATATAAAGTTATATATCATTGTACGTGTACTACACATATGCAAGTAATTGAAATTGAAATTTTTATGATTTTTCTTACTTTTTTCAAACAATTCATGTCTAAAGTTGATTTCTTTGTTGCTTTCTCTGCCAAATCATGAACTGCAGCAATAAATTTTATTAATTTTTGTTTTTACTTTCTGCTCTTTGGAACTTGAGAAAAAAGAAAATCTAGGTTTTTTTTTCGAGTTGCATTGTGCCTGATTTGCATTTTGGTAGTTGCAATAGGAATGCATATGATCGATTTAAGCTGCTTGTGTGTAAAGATAAAAAATCACACAAAATTCGTGGTAGAAGATATGGAGAATCAAATTTTTTTCGTACATGGACCTATTATCTTTAGGCTATAGATTTGCAAAGTTATGACTCGGCCATCACGTTGCAATGTAGGTGGGTGTGATGTACTTATGTGAAATTCTCTCCATAATATATTTATAATATATATATATATATANTTAAAAAAATAAACAGTAAATTGGATTATTTATATGAAGATCTCTAAAATAAAGTAGGAGAAAGAAAACATTTCCCAAGGTGGCTTTACATCAGGGGGGTGGGTTTGGCATAGGTATTGGGGTTTTAGGAAAGTACAAGCCAGTCCTGTCCAGATAGAAAACACCAATTAGTAAGTCCATACCGAAGATCCGTTGGTCCCCCACAAACCAGTAACCGATAGACATAATATGCAGAATTTCAAGAAACAATTTTTGTTCGTTCCCCACTACTATAGTTACTATTTTCCCCATTAATTATCATTTGGGAAAGAACATTCAATCCCCATTATTAGTTGTATAATACTAGTAATAATGAATATATTGAAGAGTTGTTTATTAACAATCATTATTTCTGATTTGGGCAAACAATATCCTTGATACAATCTAAACTGACCCTTTTCTTGTAACAGCAGTAGCTCATTTTTCCTCCTCTTCTGGATTTTCTCCCTTTTGACTCGGGACCGTATCCCTTTTCTCTCTCTCTCTTTCTCTCTCTGTGAAAAAGGAAACAACCATCTGTATTCTTTTACCACTATTTGTTATCATCATCTTTTGATCATTCTTAACTATCCTTTTTGGTAAGAGTGAAGCTAAATGGCATGCAAGAAGTTAGGATTCAAGTCTGAAGTTTTTCATCTTGATGGCCAATCATGGTTCGTTTTACTTTTTCAGTTAAATATTTTTTGGTAAAAGATAAGCTTTTTGATTGTTGTTGTCTTGTTTATGTTGTTTTAATGTCATTAAGAGGGAATTTAAGTAGTTTCATCCACGTAATAATAGAGAAAAAGAGAGTGAGAATGATACTAATTAATATTGCATGGAGTGTCTCATTGTTCTAATTTGCATTTGGCTTACTCCGATATTTGAGTTTTTATTTCATCAATTTGATAGAATTTTTACGTATTCTGTTGGCGATTGTTCGTTGTGATTTATTAGACCAAGTTCTGTTACATTCACTGCTTTTTTCAGAAATTGTTGTTTCTCTCAAAATGAATCAGAAATTAGTTCAAACGTGGAATGGAAATATAAATCTAGTTGGAGTATCTTTCTTTTTCACTCTTTTTCAGAAAAAAAAATAATAAAGGAGAAGAAAAAAAATTTGTGGGGTTGGCAGAGTGGGTTAAATGCAGAAACTGAGCCTCAGATTGTATTTGCAGGATCTGCAAAGGATGATAAAAAAAAGTAGTATGTAATTAAAAAGATAAGGCATTTTCTATTTTCTCATTTGACGAGAAGTACTTGAGAAAAGTTGGTGGTCTCTGGTAAGTCATTTTTAATGTAATGGAGAACAACAATAGAGTAAGTTGGATTTTAGGTATGTGCAGAGTCAAAATATAAAGAAACAAACCCACAAAGAAGTCAAGGGGTGTCATTATATAGTATATATACATATTTTAAAAAACATTACCAAGCTATACAGTATAATTTTCCGGCGACGGGGTGTCGGTTGACACCGCTTTGGTGCATGTGGCTCCGCCACTGGGTACGTGCCTCATTTCCTTGTTCTGATAAATCACTCGCTTATAAGTTCTGTTTCTGCACTCATCTGAATTCTAAATCTGTTATATACTTCCAAACCAAGGACCGAGGAAAGCTTACATAATTAACTACGGATTTGCATCTAATAGTAATCCCTTGTTGTACATTTTGCTTTTTAATGTACCTCGTTCAAGCCACTGTGAGGATTCAAAAATCGATTGTTTTGAACTCATGTCATGTATATAGATCATTGCGTATTCTTTCTTGCTAATCTGGTTGTCAAGTGATATTTCAATGAACTTGTAAGCTTAGTTATATTTGCGGAGGTGCTAAGATGGCAGTGAACTTGTAAGCTTCCCATTGGTTCATCCTGCTTTTTTTAAAAATGGTAATGCTTTAATGCAGTTGAGGCCTCTCTTGATAATTATCAGGAAGGATATATATACTTCCTCAAGTGTATTAATTCTTTCTGAACAAAGCATGCAATCTTTAGGTTTCTTTCTTTCACATAATGGATACTGTCTACCGAAATTCTTCCTTCAACATTAGATCAACAGAATGAATTCGAACTCCAACTCCAGGCAACATAAATTATCAGCTCTATTAAGTTATACTAGCTAGTACTTATTTCTGAAGCTATTTGTCGCAAAGAAAGTTTGTAAAATGAGTTCTCCAGGACTAATATCTAGTCAACAGGGGTAGGCATGGGAAGGTATTCTAGGGACAAGAGAGGGAAGAGTTCCCTCTAATTTATGGTTAAGATCCTTCGCCAGGGTTAACTCTAACTTATGCTTAAGATCCTTTGCATAATTGATAAGACACTACTCTTTAGCATTTTTGCTGTCAGTCAGACTAGACATGTATATGTTTAAGTCAAACCAGACAGGAACTTACAAATATCTTCAAGTCCGACCAGGTGCATTGTGATTTACTCGTGTTTTGGTTTTTAGGAGTGGGGATAAACAGGACTTGGACCAAACCGTATACCACTTCTGATGCAGAAAATTTCCCTCCTGATTATAACATTTTTAACGATTTATGTTCCTAAAAGTGCAAAATTTTCTTTTTCTAATAAAACCTGTAAGACTTCTCACATTAGATATTGATACTGGTGGTTTTAACCTATCCAAGAATAATGAAGAAGAAAGAAAGAGAAGAAAAAAGATATTCATGGTCGTAAAACATTTCTATTGTCCAAATGTCTCATGGAATCATGCTTCTCTGATCTTTTTCTCTTAATTTGTTTTGTGTTCGAATGTCATAATGCAGGATCTGCTCCACAGGCTTACCGAGTGATGTTGTTGTTCAAGTTGGAGACACGTCCTTTCATCTACATAAGGTACACCTCAATAGATTACACTAGCCAGCCATTCACTTTGTGAAATTGGATGAAAATCATCTTTAACTTGTAATTGTTCCACACTTTCTGTTTTCTTTTATCATGGGATATAGAAGCAAAGTGAATTTCCTGCTTGAAATAAAGAATGATATGCATGTGATTTTTCAATTGTACCATACCATGCTCAAAAGTGAAGAATTTTCAGAAAATTATAAGTGTGGCATTACCTGTTGTCGGTGCTTTCTCACTGTACGTATTCTTAAGCGCTGCAGTTTGATAACAAACTCAAAATCTGCAACAACTGACACAAAGGTCCTTTCCCCATCTAACTTTCTTTCTAGGTGAAGATGTTGTCTGAAACACATTAGTCTCAAACATGAATCTGCTTGCTTAAGTAGAATTGACATTGAGCTGAGTTTCCTTCCTTTGGCATTTTCATAAGTATGCCTCAAATGGTAGTAGCTGAGAGCCCCTCTTTATTCGTTTTCTCTGTAATTTTTTGCAGTTTAATAAAAGTAATATGCATCAAGTGCTAGAGAGCATCTTATATCTATATGCTTGTGCAATTACTACACCATGTTCCTGCATTTTATTTAACCCTGTGATGAAACCATAACCTATAGATGTTAAATCAGATATCATCCTAATCTCGCCTTTTTCTCATTTGATTGTATTATCCTGTAGTTCTGACAAGATGAATTTCATTGCAGTTTCCCTTGTTGTCTAGAAGCAGGCTCCTAGAGAAGCTTATACAAGATTCATCTGAACAGGAGAAGAATGAGAAAGTTTGTGTTTTGCAGCTTCACGGGATACCTGGTGGAGCAAAAGCATTCCTGAAAGTGGCCAAGTTCTGTTATGGTGTGAAGATGGAACTCACAGCACGCAATGTTGTCAGCCTTAGATGTGCAGCTGAATATCTTCAGATGAATGAAGATTATGGAGAAGTAAACCTCATTGCACAGACAGAGAGTTTTCTCATTGAAGTTTTTGGTTTTTGGACGGACTCTTTTAAAGCCCTAGAGACATGCGAAGATGTTCTTCCATGGGCGGAAGAGCTTCACATTGTCTCAAGGTGCATAGATTCCCTGTCAACAAAAGCATGTGCTGACCCAACTTTACTAAGTTGGCCTGTGGCTGGTCATAGCTCCACTCAGAGCCAAGATGATGCTTTTGCTTGGAATGGAATACATGCAAGTAGTGCAGCTTCTAAACAATGTCCGCTGAACGAGGACTGGTGGTATGAAGATGTGTCCTTCCTTAAACAACATATTTATAGAAAGCTAATACATGCTGTTAGTGCTAGGGGCATGACACCGGAGATAATTGCTGGTTCCCTAATTTTTTATGCTAAGAAACACCTTCCTCTTAACGGTAGGCAATCGAATTTCCAGAAACGCAATGGTGCAGTTCCAGGATCAACCCTTCCTACTGCATCGGATGCAGATCAAAGGACCCTTCTTGAAGAGATTGTGGGGTTACTACCCGAGCAAAAGGGCATCATACCTACCAAGTTTCTACTTAGGCTTCTTAAGACATCGATGATCCTAGAGGCTAGTAAATCATGTCGAGAGAATCTGGAGAGAAGGGCTGGGGCTCAGTTAGATGAAGCAGCTTTAGAAGATATTCTCATACCAAATATGGGCCACTCGGTGGAGACCCTATATGATATAGACTGCATTCAGCGAATTGTTGATCACTTCATGATGGCTGATCAGGATGAAATTGAGCCGACCTCAAATGAACTGACAGATGAAGGGCAGCTAGTTGGAGGCTCTGATCACTCACTGACCCCGCTGACAATTGTAGCTAATCTTGTAGACGGCTACCTTGCAGAAGTGGCGCCTGATACTAACTTGAAGTTAACTAAATTTAACACGCTAGCTTCAGCAATCCCAGGGTATGCCAGACCGTTGGATGATGGTATCTACCGTGCAATTGACATATACCTCAAGGTAATTGGATTATGGAAATCTACTCCTTAAAGATTAATAGCTTTAAGGATTATGTAGTGGAACATCATTTCCAGACCAATGAAGGTAGAGCCAGCCTAAAGTTATCACCTAGTTTTAGTCTTTGTTAAGATGTTGTTCTGTTTATGTAATTTCAGGCACATTCCTGGCTGACGGGGTCGGAGAGGGAACAACTTTGCAGGGTCATGAACTGCCAGAAGCTGTCCTTAGAAGCAAGCACCCACGCAGCACAGAACGAAAGACTACCTCTACGAGTTATTGTCCAAGTTCTGTTCTTTGAGCAACTCCGGCTGCGGACTTCTGTGGCTGGCTGGCTCTTTGTTTCAGACAACCTTGACAATTCACAAAGCCTGAGTGGTAATTTAGTCCATGAAGGCACCAGGGCCGACCAACTTGTGACTTTTGATGACATGAGAGATCGAGTTCGTTCACTTGAGAAAGAGTGCTTGAACATGAAAGAAGACGTTGACAAGCTTGTGAAAGCTAAAGGAAGTTGGAATAACATCTTCAAACTGCTTGGTTTGAGGCTCAAGGTCAAGTCCTGTGGTCCTAAGTCATCATCTAAGATATTTTCCAGTGGAAAAGTGCTGCAGCACTCAAGAAAAGCAGTTATGAATTTGAAAGAAGAACATAGTGCTTATAATAAGGATGACTAGATGCTTCAATTTTGAGCTTTAGAACAAGGTAACTATGGTAGTTTAGTTCATTCTTGACAGCTTTTTGGATTTGAAAAATGCTGAGCTGCTTTGCTCTTAGGTTCTTAGGCTCTTAGCAAGAGAAACTTTCATTGCTAATGTAGTAAACTAAGCACTGATTTGGTGTCAGATTCTTAATAAACTTATCATTCTAGTTTTAAGATGACTTATTGAGTATAATAAAAAATTATGACTTTTTCAGTAGGTCATGTTTGTCTCATTTTTCTCGCGTAACGTTCATTTTTTTAAATGCAAGTTTATTGAGAAAACATTTAAGAATCTTGTTGATATTAGGAAGTTTCATCAAGAACGATAAATTTCAATCAAGTTCTGAATTAGACTTTTTATTTTACCTATAAATCGTTAAATTTAATTTAATATTGAGTGAACGATATAACATTTAGGTAATTGAAATAAAGCCTCCCCATTTATTATTTTGACAAAGGATCATCTTCCATTATAGGTTACTCACATATTTTACGTGTTCATTTTTACATTTTAACTTTTACAGCAAATTGTAAAACAAATAAAGCAAAAGTAAAAATAATATGTTATATATGGCATAAGGTTGCCACCAAAAGGAAGTTAATATCCACCAAATTACAAATAAAAATTTTATCCCTAAGGAGCAAGCCCCATAGAAGGAGAGAACATACATGAGTAGTTGTGGTAAAGGGCGAAATGAAGTTAAGCCATAGTAGAAACTAAAGTGAATATATAAATGTGTTTGATACACGGAAGTCCATTCAAGAAACGTTTTATTGAAAAATATAAGTCATTTTCTGAAATGTATTTTTCTAAAAAATACTTTTCTACATTGAATGTTGAGTGAAAAATACTTTTTAGAAAAATATCTTATTAAAAATTAATAAGTAATAATATTAGCAAATCAAAAAATATTTTGATGAAATATTTGAGTATTAAAGATTGATAACAATGTGCAAGTGTTAGTTACAGCAATGATATAAGTTAAGAGTTAAGATAGTAATTAAAGAAAATATTGTTCTCCTGCAAATGAATAAGTCATTTTTGCTCTTTTACAGGAATATACTTTACTTAGAAAATATATTCAAGTAGTCAAAACCAAAAAAATATATTTTATTTCATATTCGGTTTTATGTAAACGTGTTTGACTTAAATATATTTAACTTAATACTGAGAAGTTTAAAAATTTAAAAAGACTTTTCTTATGTAAATCAAATATATATAAAGTATCAAAATTATCCTTTTATACGGTGTTGACAAGATTTTTACTATCTTTTTATTTTTTTTCTATAAAAGAATTAACTTTTGTATCTAGTTGGTCCCAGCAAATCATTTCATTAAGGAAATTGGGATGCTAAGATTAAATATTTTTATAAATATAAATGTATCATTTATTTAACAACAAACTAAAAAGGAAAATATAATATAATGACCCAGTCGGTCATTTCGAGTATTACAGCCATGTTCCCTCATTTACTGCTCAATTTATACTTTACAGTTGTTATATGGCTTGCCAGGGTAATTGGTTCGGGTCCGATGAGGTTTTGAAATGAATTGAAACACTTAGTCTCCAAGATGAAAACTTAAGTTGAAAAGGCTAACCGGATGTTGACTTATATGTAAACGACCCCGAAATAGAATTTTGATGATTCCAATGGCTCCGTATGGTGATTTTGGACTTAGGAGCGTGTCCGAAAAATTATTTGGAAGTCCGTAGTTAAATTAGGCTTGAAATGGCTAAAATAGAAATTTAAGCTTAGAAGTTTGACCGGGGAGTTGACTTTTTGATATCGGGGTCGGAATCCGATTCTGAAAATTGGAATAGGTCTGTTATGTCATTTGTGACTTGTGTGCAAAATTTGAGATCAATCGGACTCGATTTGATAGGTTTTGGCATCGAATGTAGAAGTTGGAATTTCTTAGTTTCATTAGGTTTGAATTGGGGTATGATTCGTGGTTTCAACGTTATTTGATGTGATTTGAGGTTTGGACTAAGTTCGTATGATATTTTAGGACTTGTTGGTGTATTTGATTGAGGTCCCGGGGGCCTGGGGTGAATTTCGGATGATTAACGGATTAAATTTTGGACTTGGAACTTTGCTGGAATTTTCTAATGCACTGACTAGTTTCCTTCTTCACGTTCGCGAGAAGGGTCTCGCGTTCACGAAGGGGAACTGGAGGCAGGCGAGTTTTGTTCTTCACATTCGCTACGCAGGGACCGCGCTCGCAAAGGGTTGATGGCAGTGTTCATCGCGAACGCTTGAAAGCGTTCGCGTTCGCGTTGAAGGGCGAGGCCAGGTTAGGTAATGGGCATTAAAGCTCTGCATTCGCTAAGGGTAGAACGCATTCACGAAGGCCAAGCTTGGTAAGGCATCGCGTTCGCGAGGTTGCCTTCATATTCGCAAAGAGTAATTTTGGGCAACACAATTTTGTGCTTCGCGAACGCGAGGGACCTATCGCGTTCGCGAAGGAGAAAGACCTCGACAGAAAGTTTAAGTTTTGCATTTTTTGACGTTTTGGAGCTCGGGAAGAGGCGATTTTCGGGAGAATTTCAAGAAAAATAACGGGGTAAGTGTTCTAACTCAATTTTGGTCAAATTACCCGAATCTATGGTTATTTTTGACATTTAATTGGCGATTTAAGTTGGAAAATTGTGAAAATCCTCTTGGTTTAATTTGAAGATTTGAGGATCGAATTGATGTCGGAATTTGGTAAAATTTGTATGGTTGGACTCGTGGTTGAATGAGTGTTCATATTTTATAATTTTTTTCGGGTTCCGAGATGTGGTCCCCATGGGCGATTTTTGGGTGCAATTTCGGATTTTGTTGAAAAATTAGTATTTTCATATGGAAATAATTCCTATAATTTGTATTGACTGAGTCGAATTATTTGTGACTAGATTCGAGGTGTTTGGAGGCCGATTCGTGAGGCAAAGGCCTAGCAGAATAAAGAATTACACGATTTGAGGTAAGTAACAGTTCTAAATTTAATTCTGAGGGTATGAAACCCCAGATTATGTGTTATGTGATCGATTTTGAGGTGACGCACATACTAGGTGATCGGCGTGTGGGCATGCACAGCAGGAATTATGACTTGGTCAAATTCCATGAAACAGTGTAGTTGAATAATCTGTTGTTATCTGTACATCTTCCATGTAGTAGAGAAATTGAACCACAAATCATGTTTAGATTTTGTGTTGGCACTGTAGGGACCACAGAGGTCGTGTACATGTTGAATTATATGCTAAATTATTGTTTTGTACTCAGTCACAGTTTACTTGTTTAGTTATATTAGTCTCTATGTTCCTTGTTGATACATTATATTATTTCTGTTGGAGCTGATTTCATGATTACTGAGAGCCCGAGAGACTGGAGAGATTTATGATTGAGTGAGTTCGAGGGCCTGATTGTGATATATTATACTATGACATGTGAGTTGTCCTTGCAGATCCAAATATTATACTACAACACGTGAGTTGTCCGTGCGGATTATAGCGCTTGGGCTGAAATAGTCCCTCCAGAGTCTGTACACACCCCCAGTGAGTGCAGGTACCTACTAAGTGCGAGTGCCGAGTGTAGAGTGATTGTGAGGTTGGAGTGAATGGAAGGACTGAGTGACTGTCGTTCTGAGAGGATGCATTGATTTCATTATTGTTGAACTATAGTTGTCATATGTCACTGTTTTGAAATTTTTTGAGAGATATTATCTTCTGTTTCAGTTGAACTTGATATGAAATTACTGTTTGAGCCTTAATCGTTTAACTTGCAAGCATGCCTATTTTGTTTTTGTTGGAAATTAGTGTAATTGGACTTAGTTGTGAAGTTCGTCACTACTTTCAGTTCTTTATTTAGTATTGTTACTTGCTGAGTTGGTTGTACTCATACTATATCATGCACCTCGTATGCAGATCCAAGTGCTTCAGGATACGACGACTGTTAGATCTCAGAGTATTATCATTTGGAGACTTACAAGGTAGTTGCTTGGCGTCTGCTAACCTTGACTCTCTTCTTTTCAGTTATTGCATTGTTCTATATTTTCAAACAATGTTTTTATCAGTCAGACTTTGTTATCATTTATATGTTCATATATTCAGTGACACCGGATTTTAGGAATGTATTTTATGTTAGTAATTTGTGAGATTTTCTATGAAATTCAAATATTATGTTTCCAAATTAAAAAGAAATTGTGGTTTATTGAGGTTGTGGGCTTGCCTAGTATTCAGATAGACGCCATCACGACATGTTAGGATTTTGGATAGTGACAAGTTGGTATAAGAGCCTAGGTTACATAGGTCTCACGAGTCATGAGCAGGTTTAGTAGAGTCTTGCGGATCGGTACAGAGAAGTTTGTACTTATCTTCGAGAGGTTGCCGAACTCTTAGAAAAAAAATCACTTTTTTGTATTCTGTCATGCGAATTTGTTGACTTCAGAAAACTAAATTTTTGTTATTCTATTCTCTCACAGATGGTGAGGACATGTACTACAGGATTAGACGTTCAGCCACTAGTGCCACCAGTTGGGGCCGCGAGAGGCCGGTGCTGAGGTAGAGGTCGAGGTGTAGCTCGTACAACAGTTAGAGCACCACCCGTTGCTCCAGCTCAGGAGTCGATTCCAGATATTGCTGAGCCGACATGACCAGCTCAGGCACCAGCTGTGCCTATTGTGATTCTAGGCCTTTAGGAGGCTCTAGCACAGATATTGACTGTTTGCACTGGCCTTGGTCAGGTGGTTTTGGCCCAGCCGCACCAGCCACTTCACAGGCCGGGGGAGGTACTCATACCCCTGTTGTCCGTACTCCAGAGCAGGTAGTGCAGTGACTTCAGATACCGAAGGCATTACTAGCCCAGCCGGTTACAACTGCTCAGGCCCCGGTAGTCCCCGTTATGGCTAATGATGAGCAGATGAGACTTGAGAGATTTGTGAGGCTTCGACCTCCAACATTTAGCGGCGCTGAGTCAGGGGATGCTCGGGGTTTTCTGGGTAAGTGCCAGCGGATGCTTTGGACAACAGGTCTTTTGGAGACTAGTAGGGTCTCGTTCACTACTTTTCAGTTTTCTGGGGCTGCCTTCAGATGGTGGGAGGCTTATGAGAGGTGCAAGTCGGTCGGTGCAGTACCACTTACATGGCAGGAGTTCTCTGTTCTCTTTTTGGAGAAGTTCGTGCCGTAGTCTCGTACGAAGGAGCTACGCAGACACTTTGAGCAGCTTCGACAGGAT